TCCTTCCCAGTGGGGAGAATTTCAACAAGTATATTATATAAAAACACGTGCATATTCGAATGCAACGTTGTGTCAAGATTTCAAAGGAATCGGTAGGAACAAACAAACATTACATTTTTATATATATATATATATATAGATAAATGATGATCTGCTTTAGTTCATCCTCACAGAAAAGCAAACTTAGGTAATTGTACTTGCAGAGTTAGTGCCATCTGTTGGACATAAAAGCCTTAATGCTAGATGATATCTTTTAATTTATATGAATGTTTAACGGAATAATATATAGCCTATGTCCACCTTGAAGTTCCATTTTAAATATTGGTGAAAGAATTTTTGAAATCAAATGAGTAGTTTTGGAGATTACCTCCTACATCCAAACTTACAAACTTTACCTCTTTACGATATTAGTATAAATTACACATGCATAGAATGTTATTACAATGAAAGGGTTATCACACAGAAAACTATTTATGTCTTATATATCCCTAAAATGCATTTCGGCCCCTGGGGTTAATGGCCCTCTTCAGTTAGGTGAACAACATTTATAAAATATAAAGCAAAAATTACAAAGGCATAATGACTTCTAGGCAGAGGCTGCACAGCCTAGTAGCTCAAGCCCTATCAGCTATAACCAACCAACTATAAGTGGTCAGAGCCAGTGGCGTAGCTATATATTCAGCACCCTGGAGCAAATAGAATCGGTGCACCCCTTTGTTCCTCGGAAGAGGTCTGGCAATATTTATTTTGAACATTTAATTTAAAAACATATATCTAATTATTTCAATTCAAAACCTTATTTAACAACAATTTATTTGAGATTTGAGGCATTTCAACAATAAGATATTCAATTTTAATAAACACAAATATAATAATAAAACAAAATATAATTCTTTAAGTACAGAGTACCTAATAATATTTACTACATAGTATATAAATTGTATTGACAAAATGTATGCAATTTAGGTTTCATAACTAATACATAATAATACATTAAAAAATCTTCAAGATTGTTGTTTTCTCGCTTTTTCATTTGCAAATTGGTCAGTTATTTTCTACAGATCAAGTTGACAAGCTATTCTTTATTCAATTGATATAATAACCAGAGCTAAGACAGTGTTGTGACATGCTACTTCTTAAATAAGTTTTGATTAATTTTAGTTTTGAAAAAACTTTGTTCTACTGTTGCTGTCGTTGCCCGTAAAGTTAAAAAAATGAGGCATGTGGGAGAACCTACTTGAGGATGTGGTGGGAATTAAAAGTAGTTCGGCAACTTTGCTTATAGAAATAATTTCATTTACCTGACTATAAAAACACATTTTAAATCGAAGCAGTTGAGATCCAAAGCTAGGCAAAATGTCAAAGGGATATTACCTGATCCTTCCAGAATATTTTTATCAGGTGACGTGACAAGATATACAAGTGATAAACACTTCAAAAGCATACAGTATATACAAGGGTAGTCCCAGAAGTACCCGACCTAACAAAGAAGACCCAAAAAATTTGATAAAACATATCTTTATTTTTCAACATAGTCTCCTTTTAGCTCGATACATTTTTTCCAGCAATGTACAATAGCTTCAATTTCCTGTTTATAATGAGAACTGTCGAGCTTCTCAAAATAGCCATCAACCACACTTTACCTCTTCATTGTTGGCAAATCTTTTATCACCAAGCCATTTTTTTAAGTTTGGAAAGAGAAAATAATCCAAGGGGGCTAAATCTGGCGAATAGGGTGTGTGAGGAAGCAATTTGAACCTTAACTCATTGATTTTGGCCATCGCAATAACGGATGTGTGAACTGGTGCGTTGTCTTGATGAAGCAACACTTTTTTTTCGCCAAATGTGGCCGTTTTTTCTTGATTTCATTGCTCAAGTGCTGCAATAAATTCGCATAATACTTGCCATTGATTGTTTTTCCTGGGCGCATTCCAAAAAACTGACGCCATGACCTTGCCAGCAGATGGAACTGTTTTCGCCTTCTTTGGAGCTGATTCTCCCCTTTCAGTCCATTGTTTCAACTGTTCTTTCATCTCAGGTGTGAAGTGATGGACCCATGTTCCATCCATGGTTATGAATCGACACAAAAACTCGGCTTTGTTGCTGCGAAACATTGCCAAAGACTTGAGTGAAACAACCTCACGACGCTGCTTTTGTTCCATTGTGAGCAAACGCGGCACCCATCTTGCGCACAGCTTTCTCATGTCCAAATTTTCAGTTAAAATGCGATGTATAGCACTTTTTTAAATGCCTACCATGTCTGCTAGCTTGCACTTTGAGTCGACTGTCATCCAATATCATTTTGTGGATTTTTTCCATCATTTCTGGCATGGTCACTTCACTTGGTCGACCACTACGATGTTCGTCTTGGCAGCTCATACGGCCTTGTTTAAACTTTGCCACCCAATATTTTATTGTTGTAAATGATGGAGCAGACTCCCCCAGAGTAGAATCTAGCTCAGCTTTAATATTGGTTGGACTGAAACCTTTCAAATGAAAGTGTTGTATCACATAATGATGACAAATTTTTTCCATGTTTACAAATTCACTGAGATTGTTCATTATTTATGGCTGCCAAAAAAATACTATACAATGTAACGTCATCAAACTTCAAACTTAAGCTTTATAAAATGGATACTTTCAAACACAGTAGTTTTTTTCAAACAAGTACCGCCATCTATGTCAGGTCGTGTACTTCTGGGACAACCCTCGCATTTGTCCAACGGAGTCAAATCTAATAGTTAATTGATTAATTATTAAATCCAAAAATTTTTTTACCAATGTTTTAACAATCGACTTTTCTAACTTGGTGCCCTTGTGATTCGTGCACCTGGAGCACTATGCTCCAACTGCTCCACAGTAGCTACACTTCTGGTCAGAGCCATTCATTAGGTTAATTTACAAGCAAATTAAACATGGTAATTATCAATTGGATAAGAAAACTGAAAGACTTGCACAGGGTGCAACTAAAATGGTGATATGGGAGTGTATTATGCCTGTTCATGCAAGTATTAAAGTTTCAATACGTTACTCCAAATTGGAAAGGTCAATATACGGTACTGAGTGTTTTTGTGATCGATTGAAGGTAGTGGGGGTTCAGTGAAGTATGAGATGCAATAAAGATCTTTGACAGCTACATCTGTAAAATTACACCCCTTTTAGATATCTCACCATGTTGTCGAGATGTTCACAGTGCAATTGTAAAGCTGTTGACAGTTAAGGGGTGTGTACGGTTTTAAACATTTTGATTGTTAATAGTTTATAATTTTAATATTTTGTAAGTGTGAGTCTTGTAATAAATTCTTTAAGTTAATTTTTACCTTATATTTTATAAATGTTGTACACCTAACTGAAGAGGGCCATTAACATCAGAGGCCGAAATGCATTTTAGGGATATATAAGGCTTAAATAGTTTCATATGTGTGATAACTCTTTCATTGTAATAATATTCTATGTATGTGTAATAAAGTATGTGTATTATATATCTTAAAAAAAGATATTAAAGGCATATTGTTAATTGTTAATCTTGACATCAACTACCTCCTGGAAGCACCAAAAACAAAAATGGTGACTCCACAACAGAGAAGGCATTTAGCTTTCTGCAGTTTGTAAAGTCAAAATCACTTGTCATTATGCAACGTGAGTAATCTTCAGGAGTTGTAGAATCATGGCTGCTGTAAGACAACAAATGTGCCACGTGAGCATAGGAAGTGTGGTTATTCAGAAAGATATATTTGTGGGTCCACGAGGAACCGTTACAAATAATACAGAAACAAAATTGCACACAATGAAATATTCTTTTTTATTTTCTCCGAATGCAGTTCTTTTAATATACAGATCCCAACTCGACAGATTTTCACTTCAATACCCACACAGAGAAGTGGAGGGGTCGTCTCCTATTATTGTACAGATAGGTATCACACGCGCACATAATACAGAACAAAAGAATAAACTTAATGACTAACTTAAAACTAATCTTAAATCTATCTTAAAAAGTAACAAGGAAAGGAAATGAATAGACTTAGGAAAGCAAGGGAAAGATAGGAAAGTAAACAGAATGTACCCGGGTTCAAGTCATCTGATCGATCTCCTATACGATTTCCATCCTCACAATCGTGATCCCTTCTCTTTCTCTAGTAAACCAGTGGTTCAATGTCTGGATTCTCTCACTCTTCTAGTGTCCGATGGATTCTCGTACTTCTTTCTGTGTTCAGTCTTGGAAGGGTTCTTTGTCACGACTCAGTCTCCTCTCTTTCACCCTCTTTTGAGTCTGGAGCGCTGCATCCGACGTCTGTTTTCTCCAAGGTCCATCCAAAAAAGTCTACACTCCTCTCTCACATTGCCTTGGGCTCTCGCCTCCTTTGTCTATCTCCCCAAATTAGGGGAAGTCTTAATCTCATCTTCCTTTGTTCACCTCTCTGTTCTTATAAAGGGTAATCCTCCCCCTCAAGCAGTAATGGTTTATGTAGAAATTGCTTTGAGACAATGGAAAGGAAGTAAGAAAGTAGAAACGAAAGAAGAATATAGAAAGAAAAGAAAGAACTTACGAACTACATAAAAACTAAAATATGACTGACAGCTACAGAAGAATTTGAGTATTGTTTGAATATGTGCTGTATGACACAAGATGCATGTGTTGAGAAATTATAATGGTTAAATGTGAAACTTGGATGGTTATATTTTAATGTACATTACAACATTCTTATTTAATAATTAACAAAATTACAATAATTTAAAATGGTAGCATTCTTTTTGGAGTACTGTGTATAATAAATATATTTGTTAAACAAATTGATATGTTATTTTGGAAGATAAGCATTTTGTAAACAAATATATAGATAAAATATTCATAAATTATATCTATAATATTGAAATCATCAAGAGTAAATAAAAAATTTTTGAATTGACAAAAATTAAGTTAATTTACTTTTAATTAAATTACTATTATTTCAATTTAACAACATTTAATTACATTCTTCAAAACAATTTTATGAATTCAGATTGAAAATGGTGAAGTCATAACTACAAACAATACATTTACCGGAGAGGCTAATTATCGCTGCCAGGTGGGATTTCGTCTGGAGGGAAACCAGCGGCGACGTTGTTTGGCAGATGGCAAATGGGATGGTCTTGATCCATCCTGTGAAATTATAAAATGTGCCGAACCAATGCAAGTACAGCACGCCTATCTATTATATTCAGATGTCAGGTAATTTAAATTTACTCAAAAAAGATTTCTCTCTATTCTGTTTTTGTAATTATACCAAATTTGTTAGGTATGGATCAGTTGTTGAGTATTATTGTGATGAAGGTTACAAATTAAAAGGGCTGAGTCAAAGAATTTGTAGGGAAGATGGATTTTGGGAAGGCGAAGAACCTTACTGTGAGACTATCCGCTGCCAGTCACCTTCAGTAATTGAAAACGGTGATATAATGGTTCCAGATACAAAGTTTGGTACACATATTTCTTATTCCTGTCATAGAGGTTATGAACTTGAAGGTCCAAGCAGTAGAGTGTGTCAACAAGATGAACAGTGGAGTGGAAAAGAGCCTAAATGTCTTCCTATATATTGTCCAGATGATGAACTTAAATTACCCAATGGTCATATCAAACTAGAAAGTAATTTGATGGGTTCTGTTATTTTATATAGTTGTGATGTCGGTTTTGAACTGATCGGATTAATATCTCGTACATGCCAAGAAAATAAAGAATGGGAAGGAATGCCTCCCATATGTGCAAAAGTTACTTGTCCACCACCGATACCGCCATTAAATGGCGAAGTGGTCTGGTTTAATCACAGGTAATTATTTAAAATTTTAATTTCATTCACAGTGAAAAGAAAACAGCATTAGACATTTAAAACTAGATTATTTTGGATGTATTATTATAAATATCATTAATAGTTTTCTATTTTCAGTTTTGGTGATTCAATAACTTACAGTTGTCATAAAGGATATACATTACAAGGAGATTTGCATAGAATTTGCTTACCAGATGGTACCTGGAGTAATCAAGAACCATTCTGTGAACCTATCAAATGTAGTCTTCCATCTAATATTGAGTATGGTTATGTAAGATATGATAATTTAAATTACAGGTCAAAAGTAAAATATAGTTGTCATAATGGTTATAAGTTAATTGGTTCTAAATACATAGAATGTCGAGCAGATCACAGTTGGGACGGTGCAGTTCCTCACTGTGAACAAATTTTATGTCCAGAACCTCCGCCTATAAAATATGGACATCATATGACAGAGAATTTTACAATTGGCTCGAGAGCAATTTATGCATGCGACAAAGGATTTATCATGGACTCTTCTAAGCTAGAATGTAATGCAAATGGAAAATGGATAGGAAAAATACCATCTTGTAATATTGTGTCTTGTTCTGCTCCCTCCAAATTTAAATTTGGCAAAATCATTGGCAAGAATTTCACTTATGGAAATACAATACACTTCAAATGCAATTCTGGTTGGGAATTAATTGGCAATTCTGTTCTTTTTTGTGAAGAAACTGGAAATTGGAATTCATCATATCCTTCTTGCATAGGCACATTTTGTCCTTCTCCAGAAGTTATTCATCATGGGCAGATTATTGCAACTGATTTAAAATATGGAACAAGCATTACGTATCACTGTAATCCTGGTTACCAGTTGATAGGTGACAGTTACCGCAAATGCGAAATTGATAATACGTGGAGTGGCAAGCCACCGAAATGTTTACCAGTACTTTGTCCCGAACCACCAGATATAGCTCAAGGTACCAAAATAGGTAACTTATTTGAATTTGGGTCCAATGTCACATTTGAATGTAATCATGGTTATCTATTACATGGATTGTCAACTTTGCATTGTTTAGAGAATGGAACATGGTCTGCATCAATACCAGTTTGTGTAGAAGTATCATGTTCCATTCCTGAACGAGTTAAAAACGGTGAAGTTGTGGTACCTATCAGAAAAAGGCAATACCAAAAAGATGATTCCATGCAGGCAGACGAGGGCTTTTTATTAGGTCATAGAGGAGATATTACTGTAGATTCTGACATGATAATTGAAGCATCCCAGTCAGATATATTTCGACTTGGTGCAAGAGTAATTTATAAATGTGCAAAAGGATTCCATTTAGAAGGTGAAAGAATGCGTACATGCCAGAAAGATGGTCACTGGTCAGGTGAAACCCCATATTGTAAGGCTGTAAGTTGCAATAATGTCAGCAGTATTGAAAATGGAAATGTAAGTGTTTCAACCATTACTTTTCTATCCGAAATTAATTATACTTGTAATAGTGGTTACAAATTGATTGGATCTAATAAACGTATTTGTTTATCAAATGGTTCTTGGTCAGGAAACTCTCCACATTGTGTGCTCATTAAATGTTCACAACCATCATCAATTCCGCATGGAAATGTTAAATGGGATAATTTGAACTATGGAGGAATTGCAATGTATGAATGCAACACTGGATACAGATTAATTGGAAATGTAAGTCGGATTTGCCAAAACAATGAACATTGGAGTGGTTTAGAACCAAACTGCCAACCTTTGGAATGTACGAAACTGACAAATCCAAATAACGGATGGGTTCAAACCAACAGTCTTATGGTGGGAACATTAGCAAAATATGGATGTAAAGAAGGATATGAACTTACAGGTCCAGCTATACGCACTTGTCTTATGAATGAAACATGGAGTTCTACAATTCCTTCTTGTCATATAACAAGCTGTTTTCCATTACCTGCTGTAAAGTATGGATACATTATTGGTTTGAAATTTACTTTTGGATCTGTTGTGAAATATAAATGCTATACTGGTTACACTTTAATAGGACCTGCAGAGAGGTCATGTCTTGCCAATAAAAGTTGGTCAGGAGAAAGCCCTCAATGTAATCCTCTAAATTGTCCTCGTCCCCATGCTCCTCATCATGGTTCTGTTTATGTACCCAAACTTGCAGTTGGAAGTTATGCAAATTATTCATGTTATGAAGGATATGAATTACGTGGAAATTCTTCTCGAATGTGCATGCCCGAGCTAATGTGGAGTGGAGATGTACCTAACTGTGTTATTATCAACTGTTCATCTGTTACTACGATTCCTTATGGATCTGTAATGTATACAAACTTTACTTTTGGATCTGCTGTGAAATTTTCATGCCTACCTAAGTATCAACTGTTAGGTTCTGAAGAAATATGGTGTTTACCAAACAAAGAATGGTCATCTGATATTCCGACATGTAATAGATACATTTGTGATAATCTTAATAATGATAAACACACTCTGATATCCCCTCTCGGACCACATCAAGTTGGTCAAACTGTGAAATTCAACTGTATCATGGGATATCAATTACAAGGAAAAAATATGTTAAAATGTGATGCAAATGGTCACTGGGAACAAAGTATACCAAGGTGTATACCTGTAGAATGTGGTCCACCACCTGAAATAATGAATGGAAGAATAAGTTTCCTTTCTAATAACAAATCTAACAGTATCCAATATATGTATAAGAGTAAAATTGCTTATGTTTGCAATGATGGCTATGAATTAAATGGCAGCCGTGTACTTGAATGCGAAAGGGATGGTTATTGGGTTGGAGAAAAACCACAATGTATTGAAGTTAACTGTGGGCATCCACCCATAGTCCATCATTCTACAGTTCAAGTGGAACATAAACCAGGTCTTTCGACAGCAATCTACTTATGCAATTACGGTTATAAATTGATAGGATCAGAAAAACATTTTTGCAAAGATGGCAAAGAATGGAACATAAACAAGTAAAAAAAATTTTTTTGTAGTGTTTTTCTTTTAAATTTTTATTTAATTAATAAATTTTATATACACATTTTCCAGTACCCATTGCGAAAAAATATTTTGTGGTCCACCTCCGTATTTTCAATACAGCAAATCAATCAATTTACTTTCAAATAATTATGAAGTCGGAAGTTATGTCACTTATACCTGTTTACCTGGTTACGAAAATATCGGAGGAGAAAGTCTTAGTTGTTCAGAGGAAAACAAGTGGATAGGCAGGATACCCAACTGTTTGCCGATCAGCTGTTCTAAGCCTCCTGCACCTAAACACGGAATTGTCAAAGGTGAAGAATATACTTTCCAAAGTATTGTTTTGTATAGTTGTGACAAAGGTTACAAATTAATTGGAAAAGATACTAGAGAATGTCAATCAGATGGAAAATGGGGTGGAGACATTCCAGAATGTAAAAGTAAGTACAGTTTGCTACAGAATATTTATAATAATTCAGTTTAAAAAATTTATAGACCTAGCATAAAACAAGGATCAAACTTATTAAAATGTAGAAAACATTTTAATATAATTAGTCCTTTTATCTGATGTTAACTGAATTTTTGAACACTAATGAAATATATAGATTTAAACATATACATTGTCTTCAACAAAATGATACATTTAATAATATTTTTAAAGTAATCCATTGCAATGAATTAAATGAGCCACGTAATGGATATCTATGGAAGGAAGTCGAAATCCGACAGCCAATAGTTGGCGATCGCATTTGGTTCTCTTGCGAAAATGGCTATAACTTGGTTGGAAGCGAAAGCATCCAGTGTCAAGAAAATGGATTATGGAAACCAGAAATTCCACACTGTGCAGGTAAAATCTTAATATATTCTTAATATGTTAATAAATCAAGAATTTTTTGACATGTATAATTGAATTGAATTTCTGATGTAGCAATAACATGTCCACCTCCCACCGACTATCCCCCTAAAACAGTTATAATTAAACATGAAGAAATGTTTTCATTTGGAGATCAGCTAGCACATGTTTGCGAAGCAGGATACAGACCCGATGGTGATCTGACTATAAAGTGTCTGGAAAATGGAACATGGTCTCAGCCAAATGGAATCTGTTCAAGTTAGTTTGTCGTTAAGTTAAAATGTATTTAAAAAGATTTATCATACAGGAACGTACTTCACTCAAATGGACAAATCAGATCTTTGTAATAGTCATTCTGCAAGATGCATTTTGGGTTGGTCTAGACCCAGAATGCATCTCGCAGAATGAAGTCCTTAAATTATCAATGTATTGTACTACATGATTTAAAAACACAAAGTTTAAAGTACAAAAAGCTTCAAGTAAATCATGTATTTAAAATGTTTTGTAAGTTATTAGAAATAATGAATATTAATGAAAAAATAATAATAATATGGAAATATTTTGAATTTATCTAAGTTTCATACATAATTAAGATTAACTGTGAAGATATGGTCTTATAATCTGGGTTGAGAAAAACTTTCCTAGAGAAAAGAAGCATATACCCTGTCAATAAAATTTAAAAATATAACATTTGTCTTAAAATTTTTAATTAAAACTATTTAATTTTAATTCAAAATATTAAATATTAATTTGTATACACAGAAGTGTCTTGTGGACGACCACAGATTAATAATGGTGGAATTGTTCTTGGAATGTCCTACATGTATCATGACAAGGTTGTTATTAAATGTCCTCCTGGAAGTAAATCTTCTGGAAAGGTTGTCCTTACATGTAAGGGAAATGGTAAATGGAATGATGAACCGTATTGCCAAGGTAAATTTCACAATTATAATATATATATGTTTCATATTTACATTTCAAATTACTTTTAATGTCAGAAGTCAAAATACTTTTATCTACCAGTGACCAAGTGGATAAAATCACTAAATGCTAGTAATTTGTCACAGATTTGGATCATGCCAGTTTTTCAGGATTTCTTCACATGTATAGGAGCAGTTTTCAATAGAACGGCCTCCTGGGAGGTACCCCTTCTTGACAGGTTGCCTATGTTACCTTACCTTATTCTGTCAATTCAACCTGATCTAAATTTTAGGCTTCTGAATGTTAATAGTAGTTTTAAATGTAAATATGAGACTAATAAGGCATTATAAGCTTTATTTCATATTTATATTTGCATACAAAAATAATTTTAGTTTCAAATTCTAAAATATTATATAAACCTAAAGAAATAAAAGACAATTAATCATACTTTTTACTTATTTAATTAAAAATATATGCTCTTGATTTTAGTAGTGTCTTGTTCCTGTACATCATACTCTACTGATAACGATAGAGTTGTATGACAATTGTTATCAGGAAAAGTATGATGTACAGGGACAATTCATATATCTAACTCCATTCTGGAGAAAATTTTTGAATTCAAATTACATGAGTTCTGTTCCAGACAGGAAGTTCATTTATAGTTAATTAGGGCCTTCTGCCCCTAAGCTTTCCATATCTGGTCTTGACTTTCATCTATCTAACTCCATTCACAAGATTAAGGAAAGACAGACAGATGGATGCCTGTGGGAATTTATAGGTCTGCAATTTGAAAATTGCAGCCCAAAATTTGATCATATATGTAATATTCTCTTTCCATTACATATTTATTTAATGTACAGTACACTAGAAGAAAGTGATTTAAAACTAGATGCATCAACAAATATATTAAATCATTTCTAACAAAAGTAGCCTTAAGCTTAGGCTACTTTTGTTGAGATCATTGCAGATTCATCAGTCAACTTCATCCACTTTCTGCTTTAACCTCCTGCAAACAACTACAGTAGGAGAGGAGCTCCCAGTCAATCACATGAAACCCTCCATTGCTGAAAAATATGAAGAATGTAAAGAATAAAACAAATCTCCTGTTCACAATCCCAAATTATCCCAATAGACCTGCATTTATGAACACCAGGTAGTGAGTTAGTAATGCTAAATCAAGATATTTAACAGTGAAAATAACTTCTCATAGCTTTCATAACATTATATATGTAGATTCATCAGTTCACAATCCAAATGACACCTATCTGTATATTGTCATCCGCGTGTATATTGTCGATCTCTGCTGTAAAAAAAAAAAAAAAAAAAATTTGTTTTCTTTTATCTATAATCTATTGTGTATATATATATATATTTTGTCAATGTAATTAATGTAAACGATCGTCGCGATTGCTGTACGCGCGGTTTTATTTGTGTTTTGGGCGGTTTTTGTGTGGCAGCACGGTGAGAGTGGTGGAGGAGTTATATATAGTGGGGAACCGGAAACCATTCATTCTGGTTCCTGGCGTGCAACAGTGAAGGTGTGTCCTTCGATTGTCTTGTGTAGACCCTTTGTGCTTTGTGTAAGCTGCCACGTGCCAGGCTTAAGCCGACCTATCGTATTGTGATTCAATTATAAATATATATTTGGTGCATAAAGTTTGTTAAATAATATATCGTACTGGTCTCCTCCTTTTTGTGGCAATCATTTTTCATTCACCCCTGCGGATATCATACCTCAGATATTCGCAGATTCCACATATTGGCGTCCACGACAGGATTGCCACGTGTAACAATGGAGATGACGAGTATGGAACCTTCAGACGATCGTTCAATCCCTGTACCGAGCACCACTTCCCAAGCAATTCATCAGGATATGGTAAATGGAACCCCAGTAGTCACGGGATACCTAGGGATGATTCCAATGTTCTCTAGTTCACCGACGGATAGTGTTACAATCGAGCAATTCTTTGACATACTGGAAGAAGTGTCGTCCATCGCAGGATGGGACAATGGAACACGTTTGGTGGTGGCACAATCGAGACTGAAGAATGAACCATTCAAGTTACTTATGGACTTGCGGGCTGTTTATGGTAAGGACTATGTTCGAATAAAGACGGCTCTTGTATGTAGTCTCCATCGGCCTACAACGAGTGAAGGAAATACATTGAAGGACTTTATTAGTATACGACAAAGGCGCAGCGAAACTGTCGGTGAGTACAAGGTTCGTTTATGTATCGCGTTCGAGAAAATGATTTGTTCGAATCCTCATATGGCTACGCTAAGGGACGAGATGCTCCGTAGCCAGTTCGTCCAAGGACTCACCCTGGAATTGAGGATGAAGTTGTTAGAACGCGATCCTCAGTCGTTTGATAGTGCGGTCGAGGTAGCGGAAAGATTGTATAAGATCGAACAATCGTGCAGTTTTCATAAAGTACAGGTGGGTGGCATAGTCGTGCCTCCGTTTAACGGGACGGAAGATCCCAGTAAGGAATCAACTAACATGGCCGAGCTATCAGCAAAACTGGCTAGTTTAGAGGAAACCGTTACTAAGCTTTCGCAGGCAGTCATGGGATTGTCTGTTAATCCAAACAAGCACGACACTAATGAACAAACCAAAAGGGCTGGTCCCGAACGGAAATGTTTCATTTGCAAAAGCAAGGACCACCTGTGCTCTAATTGTCCGTTAAATTTAAACTCGAAGGGAGCCACTGTCGCAGCCAGATCAGTGGCTCGGAATTGATCATCGACCTGGCTGAGGAACCCAAANTAAGGCATTATAAGCTTTATTTCATATTTATATTTGCATACAAAAATAATTTTAGTTTCAAATTCTAAAATATTATATAAACCTAAAGAAATAAAAGACAATTAATCATACTTTTTACTTATTTAATTAAAAATATATGCTCTTGATTTTAGTAGTGTCTTGTTCCTGTACATCATACTCTACTGATAACGATAGAGTTGTATGACAATTGTTATCAGGAAAAGTATGATGTACAGGGACAATTCATATATCTAACTCCATTCTGGAGAAAATTTTTGAATTCAAATTACATGAGTTCTGTTCCAGACAGGAAGTTCATTTATAGTTAATTAGGGCCTTCTGCCCCTAAGCTTTCCATATCTGGTCTTGACTTTCATCTATCTAACTCCATTCACAAGATTAAGGAAAGACAGACAGATGGATGCCTGTGGGAATTTATAGGTCTGCAATTTGAAAATTGCAGCCCAAAATTTGATCATATATGTAATATTCTCTTTCCATTACATATTTATTTAATGTACAGTACACTAGAAGAAAGTGATTTAAAACTAGATGCATCAACAAATATATTAAATCATTTCTAACAAAAGTAGCCTTAAGCTTAGGCTACTTTTGTTGAGATCATTGCAGATTCATCAGTCAACTTCATCCACTTTCTGCTTTAACCTCCTGCAAACAACTACAGTAGGAGAGGAGCTCCCAGTCAATCACATGAAACCCTCCATTGCTGAAAAATATGAAGAATGTAAAGAATAAAACAAATCTCCTGTTCACAATCCCAAATTATCCCAATAGACCTGCATTTATGAACACCAGGTAGTGAGTTAGTAATGCTAAATCAAGATATTTAACAGTGAAAATAACTTCTCATAGCTTTCATAACATTATATATGTAGATTCATCAGTTCACAATCCAAATGACACCTATCTGTATATTGTCATCCGCGTGTATATTGTCGATCTCTGCTGTAAAAAAAAAAAAAAAAAAAATTTGTTTTCTTTTATCTATAATCTATTGTGTATATATATATATATTTTGTCAATGTAATTAATGTAAACGATCGTCGCGATTGCTGTACGCGCGGTTTTATTTGTGTTTTGGGCGGTTTTTGTGTGGCAGCACGGTGAGAGTGGTGGAGGAGTTATATATAGTGGGGAACCGGAAACCATTCATTCTGGTTCCTGGCGTGCAACAGTGAAGGTGTGTCCTTCGATTGTCTTGTGTAGACCCTTTGTGCTTTGTGTAAGCTGCCACGTGCCAGGCTTAAGCCGACCTATCGTATTGTGATTCAATTATAAATATATATTTGGTGCATAAAGTTTGTTAAATAATATATCGTACTGGTCTCCTCCTTTTTGTGGCAATCATTTTTCATTCACCCCTGCGGATATCATACCTCAGATATTCGCAGATTCCACATATTGGCGTCCACGACAGGATTGCCACGTGTAACAATGGAGATGACGAGTATGGAACCTTCAGACGATCGTTCAATCCCTGTACCGAGCACCACTTCCCAAGCAATTCATCAGGATATGGTAAATGGAACCCCAGTAGTCACGGGATACCTAGGGATGATTCCAATGTTCTCTAGTTCACCGACGGATAGTGTTACAATCGAGCAATTCTTCGACATACTGGAAGAAGTGTCGTCCATCGCAGGATGGGACAATGGAACACGTTTGGTGGTGGCACAATCGAGACTGAAGAATGAACCATTCAAATCACTTATGGACTTGCGGGCTGTTTATGGTAAGGACTATGTTCGAATAAAGACGGCTCTTGTATGTAGTCTCCATCAGCCTACAACGAGTGAAGGAAATACATTGAAGGACTTTATTAGTATACGACAAAGGCGCAGCGAAACTGTCGGTGAGTACAAGGTTCGTTTATGTATCGCGTTCGAGAAAATGATTTGTTCGAATCCTCATATGGCTACGCTAAGGGACGAGATGCTCCGTAGCCAGTTCGTCCAAGGACTCACCCTGGAATTGAGGATGAAGTTGTTAGAACGCGATCCTCAGTCGTTTGATAGTGCGGTCGAGGTAGCGGAAAGATTGTATAAGATCGAACAATCGTGCGGTTTTCGTGAAGTTCAGGTGGGTGGCGTAGTCGTGCCTCCGTTTAACGGGACGGAAGATCCCAGTAAGGAATCAACTAACATGGCCGAGCTATCAGCAAAACTGGCTAGTTTAGAGGAAACCGTTACTAAGCTTTCGCAGGCAGTCATGGGATTGTCTGTTAATCCAAACAAGCACGACACTAATGAACAAACCAAAAGGGCTGGTCCCGAACGGAAATGTTTCATTTGCAAAAGCAAGGACCACCTGTGCTCTAATTGTCCGTTAAATTTAAACTCGAAGGGAGCCACTGTCGCAGCCAGATCAGTGGCTCGGAATTGATCATCGACCTGGCTGAGGAACCCAAAATCAACGACCACAAGCTCCCAATTATTTCTGGTGAAATTAATGGGCGCACTGTGAGCTTGTTAATTGACACCGGGGCCAAAAGGTCCCTCATTAACCAAAGGAATTTGGAGTCTCTGGGGGGTGCAGACCACCAATGCAATGTGGTCAACGTAAGGGTCAAGGGGGTATCTGGGGGCATCATGAGATGCGACAGGAGTTTTTTGTTTAAAGTGAAGTTCGGTAGTAAGGTCGTTCCTACGCAATTCATCGGTGTCGACTCTGGGATTTTGGTCGGGAATCAAGGCATCCTTGGCATGGACTTCTTGTGTGCCTGCCCGGAAATCTTGACTAAAATAGCGCACATCATGAAAAGGGGTGCTGTTGTGGCAAAGGGAAGTTCGGCAGTTACGATTGTGTCATTGTGCGACACCCCCAATTCACTGGACCCAATTGGACAAGTCGACTTATCATACTTACCCAGCGAGCAGGCTATAAAGATACATGATATTATTAGTGACTCGTCTGATATCTTCCGCGAGACCGTGGAAGGGTTGGTGGGGACGAAAAAATTCGTTCACAACTTCGACTTGTGCACTGATCACCCCATCTATACCCGTCAATACCGCATTCCACATGTGTACTTGCCAAAATTAAAGGAGAAAATTGAGCAATATTTGGAAGCCGGCATAATTGAGCCATCGAATTCTGAGTGGAATTCCCCTATACATATCGTACCAAAAACCAATGGGGAAATCCGTTTCACACTTGACCTAAGGAAAGTCAACGAAGTCACTAAGGGCCAGGACTTCCCTATGATGCGGATTGATGACATCCTTGCGCAATTGAAGGGAGGGAAGATATTTTCTGTCCTAGATTTAAATTCTGGCTACTTCCAGATACCGGTTTTGCCCCACCTCCGCAAAGTATTTGCTTTCTCTACCCCCTGGGGAAAGTATCAACTATGTCGCATGCCCCAGGGTGGCAAGAACTCAGGGCGCTGTTTTCAGAGCATAATGAACTCAATCCTCTCCAAGTATGTAGGAACATCCTGTTTTGTGTTCCAGGATGATGTCGTCCTCTTTTCCAAGAACATTAAGGAACATATCGAGTTGTTAAGAGAAGTGCTCCTCCTTATAAAAGAGGCGGAATTAGTACTAAGGCCTTCGAAATGTAAATTTGCGGTGACTTCCGTCCGTTATCTAGGACACATAATTAGTGATGAGGGAATCTCTCCGGATCCCGATAACATAAAGGCTTTCCTTGAAATACCACCTTCTAGAACGGTGAGGCAAGTACGTTCATTTCTTGGAGCCCTCGGTTTCTACCGGCCATTCATAGAAAACTTTGCCAGCATATCCCTACCACTCACAGAGTTAACGAAAAAAGGACATCGCTTTAAATGGACGAAGGAATGCGAGGACAGTTTTTCCAGGTTAAAGAGGGCTGTCACCACCCCCTCGACGATGAGACATCCGGACTTCGCATCCGATTTTCACCTCTATACTGATGCTTCCGATCTGGCCGTGGGGGCTGCCCTACACCAGAAGTATGGTGATTGTCTCGCTCCTATTGGTTTCTTTAGTAAAAAGTTACATGGCGCCGAGTTAAACTATTCCATCATCGAGAAGGAATGCCTCACACTAGTGTTGGCCCTTCGTCATTTCCGCTTCTTAATCCTAGGTAGGCCAATAATCATGTACTCTGACCACAAACCTTTAGTTTTCCTCAGAGATATGAATAACCATAACCAGCGACTCATGAGGTGGGCCATCGAGATAACCGGGTATGATGTTCAGATGGTACATGTGAAGGGAGGAGAGAATAAGGTGGCCGACACATTGTCTCGTACTCACGATGATCGAACCATCCTACCCGAAGTCAAGGTAAATATCAATTCCGTATCCCCACCTGAGGATAACAACAACAGGAGTGTAAATGATCGAGTGATTGCATCTCAACAATTAGATAGTCGGATAATTGAGATCCGCGACACTCTGTTAAAAGGGGAAGTTGGCAACACCCCCACTAACCTCCAGGACTTTGAGGTGAGTAATAATCTCTTGATCAAAAATGGCCTAAACTATAGAGGTGAGCCTGTTAAGTGCCTTTGTGTTGGCGACACTATGCAGATACCTCTAATTGAACATTACCATGAGATGGGCGGGCATAGCGGTGCAGAAAAGACCCTCAAGAAAATGAGGGGCAAGTATTTCTTTCCTAATATGAAGAGGAAGATCAAAAATTTCATAACCAGGTGCGAAATTTGTCAAAAATTCAATCGCACTACTCATAAGGCGCCGATCCAGGAGGTAACTCGCCCGAACGAACCGATGCAAGTGATCGCAGTGGACGTGATAGGTCCCATGCCCGAATCGCGAAGGGGAAACCGGTACATTATCGTTTNAGTTAAAATGTATTTAAAAAGATTTATCATACAGGAACGTACTTCACTCAAATGGACAAATCAGATCTTTGTAATAGTCATTCTGCAAGATGCATTTTGGGTTGGTCTAGACCCAGAATGCATCTCGCAGAATGAAGTCCTTAAATTATCAATGTACTGTACTACATGATTTAAAAACACAAAGTTTAAAGTACAAAAAGCTTCAAGTAAATCATGTATTTAAAATGTTTTGTAAGTTATTAGAAATAATGAATATTAATGAAAAAATAATAATAATATGGAAATATTTTGAATTTATCTAAGTTTCATACATAATTAAGATTAACTGTGAAGATATGGTCTTATAATCTGGGTTGAGAAAAACTTTCCTAGAGAAAAGAAGCATATACCCTGTCAATAAAATTTAAAAATATAACATTTGTCTTAAAATTTTTAATTAAAACTATTTAATTTTAATTCAAAATATTAAATATTAATTTGTATACACAGAAGTGTCTTGTGGACGACCACAGATTAATAATGGTGGAATTGTTCTTGGAATGTCCTACATGTATCATGACAAGGTTGTTATTAAATGTCCTCCTGGAAGTAAATCTTCTGGAAAGGTTGTCCTTACATGTAAGGGAAATGGTAAATGGAATGATGAACCGTATTGCCAAGGTAAATTTCACAATTATAATATATATATGTTTCATATTTACATTTCAAATTACTTTTAATGTCAGAAGTCAAAATACTTTTATCTACCAGTGACCAAGTGGATAAAATCACTAAATGCTAGTAATTTGTCACAGATTTGGATCATGCCAGTTTTTCAGGATTTCTTCACATGTATAGGAGCAGTTTTCAATAGAACGGCCTCCTGGGAGGTACCCCTTCTTGACAGGTTGCCTATGTTACCTTACCTTATTCTGTCAATTCAACCTGATCTAAATTTTAGGCTTCTGAATGTTAATAGTAGTTTTAAATGTAAATATGAGACTAATAAGGCATTATAAGCTTTATTTCATATTTATATTTGCATACAAAAATAATTTTAGTTTCAAATTCTAAAATATTATATAATTGCTTTATTTTTATTGAAATATTTAATTATTGTTTTTTAGCATTATGTCCCCATCCTTGCTTGAATGGAGGGCATTGTATTCCTCCAGGAATATGTGCTTGTCCTCCAGGATTTGCTGGTGAACTTTGTCAACAAGGTAAACAAAGTTTTTGTTCTTAAATTTTTGATATTCAAAAACAAAATAAAACAAATATAGTAGTAGCGACCAATGTTTCCTTTAATTTTTTTATAGTTGCACAGTGCAGAAATGCATCCAAGCAAACAATTTTCACGCAAGATTAAATATGTGCATTATTTTTACAAATTGTTTTAATTATAAGTAGGAACAAACATAATAACAAAAAATGATATTAACAATAAATTCACACTTTACAGTTATTTATTTTTCTCAGAATTTTTCTCTTCTCTATTGAAGTCCTTACTTTGCCAGCGTTCTACATTTATTGTTGTACTATTAGCTAAATTCAATTTAATTCTCATAAGGTTATTTAAATGATCTACTTGTAGTCTATTTGATTTTTGTGTTAATTGAATTCATAGTGCTAAATCCTCACTCTTGGTCTGCACTTGACACTTGAAATGTTCTCATATCACAGAAAATTAATACAGTATTTTTCTTCTTCATTGTCTGTATTTTTAATTTGTTATTTTGTCCTACCCTATTTCTTATTTCTTCATACATCTAGTTTATAAGTAAAAATAAAATGCATATATAATTATTGTTTGGGGATCTTTGTAGCTAAAATTTCTCTAATTTTATACCATATGTTGGTAAATATATTGTCTGATAATGCACTTGTAAGAATTATATAAAAAAATAACAAATAAACATTTTTATTAAACTTTTCTAACCTACATAACAGAAAGATCACATTTCTATTTGTCACTTGCTCCCAAATGTTTAATCTACACCAGGGGTGTCCAACCTGCGGTCCAAGGCAAGTTTCAATGCTGCCCAATAAACGTGTAAACAAAATCGACAAACTTTTAAATTTAATTTTATTTATTTATTTCAATGGCATAAACTAAAAAAAAAGAAGTTTCACAAAGCCGTAAACCTTTATATATATTTTATTTTTGAGTGGAAAGAAAATATTTTCAAATACTTGGAAATGTGTGAATGAGGAAGAGCACTTTTTGANTGGGAAATTAGGATTTAGTAAAGTGTGAAATACCCAGGGTTAATGCTGGACTTCACAATTTGGGTGGGATGCCATGTTAAACTTTCTCTGAAGAGTCTATCATTGTCATCTTCACTAGGTTTCTCTTCATATCTAGTTGTTACATCTTTTATTATAACTACGATAAAATCCAACTTCTCCAATTCTCTCAAATTTTCCAGTTGCTGCCATTCGCAACCTGGAGCACCACATTTGATGTCTGTCCATCTTGAGGTCTGGGGCAAAGAATGTTCTTCCCTTCTCTCACCAACCCTCAGGGTCGCTTTTCTTTCATTGTTTTCTGTGGTTCCAAGAATCGGTCATTCCACCCAAGGGAAAAGAGTTAGAAAGGAAAGTTCTGGAAGCAAGAAGAAACAAAGAACAAAAGAGAGGACTAAAACTATACTTAAATTACTATATACAAAATGGCATACTGCCACACTATACAAATGGAAATAAAGTGATCCAAAGTTACTTGAATAAGTTTATAAACTTCTGAGAATATTACCATTTACATTTTTATTGACATGTTGGCATATAAGAGTATGCAAAAAGCTATTTTCATGAACACTCCCTTATACTGGATAGCTGAGCAGTTAAGATGGCAACCTACTGCTCAGGAGTACTTGAATCTAATCCTGACTGCTCAAAAAATCCCAGGAATTTTTAAGGGTTGGTATAAATATAATCAAAGGGAGAGACAATATAAATCAAATAATTTTTTAAAATTTATTTTTATTGTTATAGTTTTTTGTTTTTATAAAATAAAATTTCAACAAATTATACTATTTTACTAGCAATTTGTATTCTGCCTTGTCTAAATGGCGGAACTTGCATAGAACCATATAAATGCAGTTGTGAGGAGGGATTCACTGGCTCACGATGTGAAACAGGTATTTGTTTTTTTTTAAATATAAAATTTTTCTATTGTTATTAATCTCTTAGTAATATATAATTTATATTTTAGCTATATGCCAACCGCACTGTCAGAACAGTGGACTCTGCATAGCTCCTAATCTATGCCGATGTAGGATTAATTTTAGAGGTCCGCAATGTCAATATGAGTAAGTAGTTTTATAATTAAGATATATATACTATATTATGTAATATACTTTATATTTTAGCTATATGCCAACCGCACTGTCAGAACAGTGGACTCTGCATAGCTCCTAATCTATGCCGATGTAGGATTAATTTTAGAGGTCCGCAATGTCAATATGAGTAAGTAGTTTTATAATTAAGATATATATACTATATTATGTAATATACTGTATAATATTGCCACGGTTTGCTCTTCCCACTGTGTTGTTCATGGTGCAGGGGTTAGCGTCTTCGCCTATCGAGCGAAGGTCTCTGGTTCGAGCCTCATTGATGCGGGGTTTTTTTGTGTATACATTCTCCTGGTCTGAGAACACATGGTGATTGTTAGCATTTACATTTTTCTGCCATGTCTCCATAGTATATAACTGTGAGCTCTCAGCTTGAGGGCAGTTCTTGTTCTCGTACTGCAAGCTGCAGTAGTTGTACGTTCTCTGAGTGAATAAATATCCCTTTGTGTTCCTAACAACTGGTTGCTGTTTGTTTCCGCAACAATATATATATATAATATAATATATACTTTTTCTCTTTCAGAAATTTTAGAAATCATAGACCATTGACAAGATACAAGTATTGAGAGTGATGCCACTTTAAAGTATTATTATATATAGGTATATTATACATTGAAGATGTTCCTGAAACTTCAGAAATTATCAAAGAACACATTTAACGACTTGTGTCGTTATTAAACATTGCAAAAGTCGGATTAAATTAATTACAATCGACAAATTATCATCATCATAATTTATATCATAGAGTTAAATCGATTTAATATCTATTCATTAGACATTAGAATTAATCTTTTTTTTTTTTTTTAAGCAAATGAAATTTTAATTTTGTCGACTGTTTTTACTTAATCCAATTAAATGGAATAAAATGTTTGTCATTTTTTAATTCCACTTCACTTTTGTAAATATTTAGCATTTAAAATTGCATTAATTTGAGTTTTATATTGTTAAATTTACTACATAATATTCAATTTTCTTCTATAAATGAGGATTTATGTGTTTGCAAGTGTATAGAAGTAAACAAAATGAAATATATATAATTTAAAATAAATTTTGTCACAGCTTGAAATGTAAAATTTGTTTTTTTCTAAATAAACAAAAAATAAATTTTTTTAATGTGAATTTTTCTAATGAAATTTTTAATTGTCAACGTGGAACAATTTCTATTTTGGTTTTGCGAAATGTCATTATGAAGGTCATTTAAATTTAATTAAGTTCAGTATTATGTTATTTTAAAATTAGATTAAATTATATTAATAGATTAACTCTGGCCGTTCGAAATTAGAATGGTTGGAATAGGTTTTTTTTTTTTTTTTTAAATACTCTCTGCCTTGTGGGCACTAAGAGGACCTTTTATAGCAGACCCATTATGGGTTCGGCCAGGCCCACAATGGGGTGACGGCTGGTGAGGAATCAGGCCCGACATATACGAACGGACCACCCCCAAAAATTCCTCGGGATTCCTTGACCCGTCCAAGAGTCGGTAGATTAACTGGTCTTTCAACTTCCTATCTTCACTTGTTGCTAAAATCAACTAGAGTCAAATGTTACCACCAGGGGCACTGCAATCACTGCAGGAGCGCTAGATCGAATCACTGTGAGGACGAATGTTTTTTTTTTTTTTATTGAAAGACATATAATCTTTGAGTTCGATTTCATAATTTTTTATATGCATTTTATTATAATGAAAAAGCTTTTATTTAAACCCAAAACCAGGTTTATGGATAAATAAATAATAAAACATTAAAATCTTAATAAAACATTAAACATCTATCGCTGAGAAATGTTTATTTAATAAAATACGTTCGAACTCATTTACACCCGAGGATGGTTTATTCCATGAGGCTGAAAATGTTAGTGTTTTATTAAATAAACATTTCTCAGCTATGGAAGGTGTTTAATGTTTTATTAAGTGTTTTAAAAACGGCTGAGTTTGATATTTAGTTAAATAAATGACAAGGAACAAAACTGATACAATAGTACTATTATTAAATTGTGCTATATTTACAACACAGAATTATGCTTGTCCAGCTTCTTGACGTCACAAAGTAGCGACATCTCGTGGTAAAAAACAGAACTATGGTTACGGAATCGTTCTGTAATTAGACGCCAGTGGAAAATGCCGACTAGCAGTTTGAACTCGACTAAGATAGGACATGCGCAACACTGACGTGATGAGAATAACTTTCAGTGTTGCCAACTCCAGTGAAAAAATATATATATCTAAAAATTAAATAAAAATATCTGGATCTCATAGACTTTTTTAAAAGTCTTTTCGCTCTGTGGCCACTAAAAGGGTCTTTTTGCAAGCCCATTATAGAATTGGCCAGGCCCACAATGGGGCGGCCGGATGGTGAGGGATGGAGTCCGACATATCCGGACGTACCACCCCTGAAAAATTTTTGGTAATTTTTCGACCTGTCCGAATTTCGATCCCGGATCCCCCAGAGCGGTAGGCTGCCACCTTAATCCCAAGCGTTTTCGTTTATAGCTCTTTTCCTATGGGTCACCCCTAAAAAATTTCTAAGAGTTTAGATGTTTACAATCGAGATTTCCTAAGAAAACAAAATTAAGAAAAAACGTGCGATGCATTAATTGTAAACTTTTACATATTTTTATTTAAAACTAAGCATTGAGTGCCATGACGTCGTCAAAGGCCTCAATGCAGAATCCAAATATTTTTAGGCCAGGAACACATGCGTAAAAATTCGGAGTAAAATCTAGCATAAAACAGAAAGCGTAAAAATTTTCCTGAAATTTTGGCTGAAACATAAGGACAGGAACACAAATGCGTGAAATTGTGTGGCAGAAAACTGAATCAGACATCTGCTTTCAGTTCAGTTTCCGTATTACGCTTTTATGTCAGAACACACATGCGTAAAAATTCTGGCCGAATAGGAAACGCCACTGCCACTAACAGTGCTATATTTTATTAATTTTTTTCTCTCATATATCTATCCCTTTGTACCTTCCATTTTTTCTCCGCTTCCTCTGCTATAATATAAAAAATTTAAATCAATAGGCTTGTATTTCGAATTCAAATAAAGAAAGTGTGATCGAAATACTAGGTCTATACTGTATATGAATTCTACTAGACCTACCTGTTATTTGAAATTTTGCATTTATAACCATCCATAAACATTGTTTAAATACAGTGTATTTATACATGACACTGATATGGTAGAACGGATTTAATAAACTTCTCTATTTCATTTATTTTTCGAAATTGTCACAATTGTAGTAGTATTTCGATCACATGTTCTTTATTTGAATACTGAATACAAGCCTATTGAAAACCTATTGATTTAAATTTTTTATATTATAGCAGAGGAAGCGGAGAAAAAAAATGGAAGGTACAAAGGGATAGATATATGAGAGAAAAAAATTAATAAAATGTAACACTGTTAGTGGCAGTGCCGTTTCCTATTCGGCCAGAATTTTTACGTATGTGTGTTCTGACATAGAAGCGTAAAGCCTGGACTCCACATTACCGGAATCCGCGACGTAATCGTAAAACTGAAAGCCAAACTGACGAAACTTTCAGTTTTGTAACGTTCAGTTGGACAGAAACAAGAGTGAAAGCGGAGTTAAAAATTATTTAACTTTTCCGTTTTCGTTCCGCGCTTCTGTCGTACTGCAACCAATAAAACGCAAAGATTTGTGACGCGTAATCACGTGCATTAGTCACATGTTGTTTGATCATCGTAATGGCGGAAAGTATAGAGAAAACGATGAGGAAGCAAATAGATTTAGAATTCTTCATCGAAGAAGTTAGAAAATACAGATATCTGTATTTTCTAACTAAAAAAATGTAAATAATTCAATGATTATTTACAATTTCATTGTTAATAAATGCAGAGAAAACATTGCAAAATCCGTAGCGTCGTCCGTGTTTGACTACGACAATTACAGAACTGACCAACAGATGGCGCATTTCTAGTGGAGTCAAATTAAAATGAAAACATAACAAACAAAAACTCTATATGTTTCAGTTCTGTTTCTGAGTTTCTGTTTTCAGGTAATGTGGAGTCCAGGCTTAATACAGAAACTGAACTGAAAGCAATTTCTGATTCCGTTTTCTGCCACACAATTTCACGCATGTGTGTTCCTGGCCTTATAGTACATCCGCCATTATTAATTTTTTTCGCGTATTCCCAGTTAGGAATCACTGCTTTAGAATGAGACAATTAAGGCAATATTTCGGAGATAATACAGTAAAATTAAACAAAAACACGCAATAAAACTGTACTCAAAAAGAGAACTGGAGGACAATACCGTTAAATATAGGATGGTTGGCAACTAGTATTAATTAATTAGCGCGTTTATAAGCGCAAATTTTAGTGACGTCATTTCCGTTTCTTAAGTCTGCGTAATGTAACAGTAATATCGCTTCCTCTATAAAAAGCGCATCCCCGAGAAAACGAAAATTAGAATTTCTTCGCAAACACCTTTTTTTTCTTTTAACTATTTCCGCCCTGTGGGCACTAAGAGGGCCTCTTTTTTCAAGCCCATTATTGGTTCGGCCAGGCCAACAATGGGGCTGCCGGGTGGTGAGAGACGGGGCCCGACATATCCGAACGGAGCACCCCCCGAAGAATTGCTGGGGATTTTTCGCCCGTTCGGATTCGAGCCCGGGTCCCCCAGAGCGGTAGGCTGCCACCTTGACCGCTAGGCCATCCGGCCGCTCGCAAACACCTATACAACATTTAGGATACGTATTAGGATAGTAGCCGCCGCTCTGAGGACCGGAATCGAACGGATCGAGAAACCCCATGATTTTTTCCGGGAGTAGTCGCGGGAATACACGAAAATAATAAACTTATCTCATTATTGTTTTCTAATAATCGCGGTCTTAAAAAGGCTTTTTTTATTTCGGTGTTGGAACATCTTTTATTCTATTCTTGAGAATTATAAATTCGAAACTTTTATCCAGAAAAAGTGTAATCCATGGAAAACTCGAATCAAATGTCTTCCGAAATTGATAAAGCACGACAGGACTGTCCACACTCATCCCCTCTGAACGTCTTATGGAAAATGATGAACGAAGATTTAATTTGCGATTCTGTCTTAAAGACAGAAGACGGAGGGGAATTTCATGTTCATCGAATAGTATTAGTCACCTGCAGTCCGTATTTCGAAGCGTTATACACGAGTCGGATTAACAATATCCAAAGAAAAGAAATCACAATTCCACGCGTAACGTCCAAGATGCTGCAGCACATAATACAATTCGCCTATACGAGAAACAACGATATATCGATGAACGACGTGCACCAATTAATTTCGGTGGCCCATAAATTTATAGTCACCAAAATGTTAAAGAATTGCTGGGATTTTCTGCTTAATCACATCAATAAAAGAAACTGCATCGGCATATGGAAGTTATTCAGGTCATACAACTGCGGAGCGATGGAAGCGAAAGCTTTTAAGTGCGTATATTAATTAATTCTTTCTAAAGCATTCTTATAGTGTTACCAGGTCACAATAACGTTTTCGCCTCCCTTAATAGATTTATATTAATCAACTTTACGAAAGTCGCTAGAGAGGAGCAATATCTAACACTATCCGTGGACGAAGTGATAGAGATCGTAAGTCACGAGGAACTGATCGTCAAAGTGGAAGATTTCGTGTGGGAAATGATTCTGCGTTGGATCGAACACGATAAAAATGGCCGTTCGACGTACATTAGCAGACTGATACCGCACGTGCGCTTGGGATTGATAGATCCGGATTATTTTTTAGAAAACGTCAAACTGAACAAATACGTTTGTAACGATTCAAACTGCCGCTCAGTTATCATCGAAGCCAACCGGTGCTTATTTGATTTGGATGCGAAGATGCTGGAAGGAAACTGTATCAAATATGAATTGCAGAAGACACCCAGATTACCACATGGAGTCGTCTTCGCTATTGGTGGTTGGAAAGGCCAAAGCGCTATAAATCTAATCGAAACCTACGACATTAAAACGGATAGCTGGATGATTGTGAGTATCTATTGTTTACATATACAGTATAATAATAATACAGTGCTTACGTAATATAATTATAGTGTTTACTGTATAATTGTTATAAAAGCAAAGCATTAAATATGCCTTAGTTGTGTTTGAGACAATTAACAATTAACGTAACGATTAAATGAGCCTTCCTGTTTTAAACGATTCATTTATTTACTCCCTAAGAAAGAAACAACAAAATTTTGTATTGCTGTAAATTGTGTAAAAGATTTCAGGATAATAATGTCATAATTTTATAATATAGAAAATACTAAAACGAAATTTAATTAATTCTTTCATAGTTACCCACAAAAAATCAAGTTAGTCCAAGAGCGTTCCACAAATGTGCAGTTGTAGATTACAAAATCTACATTTTAGGTGGCTTCAATGGTACAGAGTTCTTTAATACTTGCTACTGCTTTGTACTTCCGTGTCAACATGGATGGAGGTTGCTCCGATGTATTCGGAAAGGTTAATATTTACTTTCTTAACATAGAAAACATAGGTTATGTACAGACTATTATCTACTACTATTATCTTCATTATGTACCGTACTTGTATAATTTTTAGGTGTTACGTTAATGTAGCCGTTACAGGCAACATTATTTATGCCTTGGGCGGATTCGACGGAATCGCCAGATTAAACTCGGCGGAGAAATATAATTGTGACACAAATCAAGTAAATATAATAAAATAGTTTTTACTTTATAGAATTTCACCAACTTTAGAATTACATTTTTTGCTTTCTCCCTTTAAGTGGCAGATGATCGCTTCCATGAATTTCGAGAGAAGTGATGCGTGTGCTACAGATCTCGATGGATACATCTATGTTGTGGGTGGTTATAATGGCCATGATTTCTTGAATTCGGTCGAATTTTACAATCCCGAAACGAATCAATGGACTGTGATTTCCTTCATGAGTACCTTTCGTAGCGGGGTTTCATGCACAAGTCATAACGGAATCCTGTACGTTTTTGGAGGTTTCGACGGAAATTCTAGACTTTCTAGTGGACAAAAATACAATCCTAGAACTAAAAAATGGTATCCTCTTTCGGATATGAAAACACCTAGAAGCAATTTCGCCGTTGTTGTAAGTACTGTACTGTACATTTTCTTTCAGTTGATTTATGCATATAATGTACATATATGCGTACATGGTTTGTATATATATTGATACACAATTTTCTCTTTTGTAGGTTTTAGAAGATTTAATATATGTTCTAAGTGGTTTCAACGGCACTTCAACAATTTCTAATGTGGAGTGCTACGACATAAAAAAGGATCGATGGACTCGAACTGAAAAAATGCGCATTTCAAAATCTGCTTTAACAGCTTGTATAGTAACAAATCTACCCAATATAAGAGACTATATTTCGAGAATAGAAACCTGATCTCTGAATTTTGGCCGCTAAATTCAAGATTATTAATTAAAATGTATTTATTTCGCACTTCATTCGCTTATAAATAAATTTAAAATAAAATTAAGAATGCTTTTAAAGTGTTTTTATTTTATTTTATTATATACAGTATTTGTCAACATGGACATTAATCATTAACAGGTCATTATACTGGTGTTAAGTATTTACACAAGAACTTTTCCTCAATTCTTGTGTAAATACTTAACACCAGTATAATGACCTGTTAATGATTAATGTCCATGTTAACAAATATATAATAAGAAATTGAAGAAGGACAGTAAGGCAATAATAATTGTTTTTAAAGTGTTTTTAAGCATATGCAAACCATTATTTCTTTATACTTGTTATGTAAGGCAGGGGTGTTCTGAAAAATTTTCACTTGCGTGGCTTTTAAAGCTGCTTCAATATTCGCTCCTCTTCCAACTCGTATGAACAGAATATTTCAATATTAAGAGGAATGTAAAAACAGAAAGAATAAATTTTCCTGCAAATAAACAGTAAAATCTAAAAAACACAATTGCGTATATCTTTATTTAAAATGGTAAAAGTTTGCGCCCCACTTTGGGCACACCACAGTTTGCTCACAATTACGTCAAAATGGGATTTGGTTTATTTGGCTGCACGTGGGCGATCTGCCGAGAGCTGGCCCCTATTTAGACGTTACTAACGTGAAGAAAACCCGGAAAAACTCTACGAGGCAAGCCTGTTCGAAAGGCTCGAACCCATGACCAGTGTTCAGTGGTTTTACACATTCAGCCACTGTGGGCACTTAAACTGGTCAGTTTGCTAAATTATTCCTTAAAAACATCATCTTTTAAATTAATAATCTCATTAAAAAAAACCACTTTTTTCTTCTTCTCATCCCGCGGCACTAAGAGGTCCCTTTCTCCATCTCTATGGTGGGTTCGGTCAGGCCCACAATGAGGACGAAACGCGACATGTCCGGTTCAAATTACTACTAAAAAATTTCTGGGGAATTCGCCCGGATTCAATTCGGGGTTCCCAAGAGAAGTAGGCTGATGCTTTTCATGCCTCGGCATCATGCTATCATCCTGGGGATACGCGACCGAATCGGGCGAGCAACATCTCAGGAAATTTTCAGTAGTCGTGTGACCCTCATCGCCTGTTGGCCCATCCACCGAAACTACGATTAATATGGAAAAAAGTTCCCTCTTATTGCCCACAGAGCGGAAAGAATAAAAACAAGCTATGAATTTACGATACTCGTTTTTCGACTGAATTTATCCGTTATATTCTTCAATATAGTGGCGTATATATATATAGTATATAGGTCTAAACTCCAGAAAAATTGTAATATTCATATTTTCCCATAAAATGCTAAAAAAAAAACCCTTAATGAAATCTTTTGGAAGAAACATCAAAGACATTAATTAATTATTGATGCAGTAATGAATTAGTCACTGGCATCTCATTTTATTCAAACTATTCTCTAATTGGCAAACATATTCCGTATTCATTTGCATAATCGAAGGTAGTAAGAGGGTTAGAAGGGTTTACGCATTTCAAATTCCGACCACACTTGCCGTACATATTCCAAATTCCTCCGCACCTTTCTCCAATATCCTGCATAGAAAATAAATTATCGTTAATATACTTAAATAAAATTATAGATTTAGCGTCACCGATCGTTCGCTAGTGAAATGGCATTAAATCGAACGTGATGTTAACTGAACGTAGCGAAACCGCAATACAGCGTCGACTTGTTGCATACTGTAGCGTGTGTTTGAGCATGATCCCCAAAAGTTCCTGGGATTTTTCGACCCTAGGAATTTTTGGGAGTCTGTCCCGGATATGTCTGACTTCGTCCGTTACCGTATTGGGACCAGGCCCGCCGTAAGCGGGCGTGCAAGGCGTGCACCGCACGCGGGCGGCATGTCCAGGGGGTGGCAATTACAATATCTTTTTACTAATGACTTAATTTCAACATTTCCGAACACAGCAATAGCAGTAAGAATATTACTTACATTGCCGGTTTCAGTTGCGTTTGGTGAAAAGTCCTNATACTTTTTTGTGATAAAGATTTAATACTTATTACTATAATCTAGACATGTTAATCCTTAAATATACTTGTATACTTAAGGATTGGTCCACAAGTATATATAATATACTTGTGGCCCAAAACTCCATGACATCTTCCTATATGGTCCAGAGAAACAAAAAGGTTGGACACCCCTGATCTACACAATTGATAATATTGCATATCAAACTGGACAATGAGCTTTGTTGTCATGAATTATTTTCCAAACTAGAATACTTGTGAGCTTCTTTTTAAAGATTTAAATATCAGTAGATTTCCCCCAAACATATTTGACAAAAATTGGAAAGTACTGCTTTTACACCTGACAAAAAATGAATGTATTGAAATCCATTTTTTCTTATTATTCAAAATCAATTCTAGTATTAGACATTCCTCTTACATCTGTCTGTGCCTGAAGATGGTCTGTTAACTGGGTCAAACAAATTAGCATTTTTCCAATCTTAAAAGATAAATTTCATCTTCAAAATGAAATTGTATCTATTTAATATAACAGAAGGTAATTGTACCAAAATGACCCACTTAACCTTTTCAATTGTTTCTAATTGTTAACAGAGTTCAAAATGAAAAAGTAATGAACAGATTCTAAAGAGGAAACATTTCTGAACAGCGATTAAAAATATGAGACATTTCAGAATATTTACATGGATGCAGTGAAGCTTTTACAAAAAAAGTACCATTTAGGCCCTATTGGGCATGTATATACTCAATATGGCCTAATTATACCTGTGTGTTTACCTCTTTTTCACCAAAAATGCTATTGTGATGTTCATGCAAAATGTATGTACGTCGACAAAAGAAACGTGACAAGAATATTTAGCAACAATATTTTATTCCGCGTATATGAACAAGTTCTTTATGGATTCCAACTCCAAAATCAACAATTACAACATAGATTCTAATAATGATTAATGGCAGAAATGACAAAAGATACAGTCGACCCCCTATAACACTGTTGATTATTCTGTTTTATATGAATTCCATGTTGTAGAAGTCACTTAGATTTTACAAATATGTGAGCCATTCACAGCCTGGAACACTTATTTGTAAATTCTAAGTGACTGGTATAACATGGAATTCATATAAAACTGTATACTGTTTGTGACAAATAAATACAAATAATACCCGTAAACCTATAACTAATACTTATATGCTAGCTTAAAACTAAGGGAAGAAAGAAGATGATAGGGAAAAGTAGAGAATTTGGGAAATTAGGATTTAGTAAAGTGTGAAATACCCAGGGTTAATGCTGGACTTCACAATTTGGGTGGGATGCCATGTTAAACTTTCTCTGAAGAGTCTATCATTGTCATCTTCACTAGGTTTCTCTTCATATCTAGTTGTTACATCTTTTATTGTGACTACGATAAAATCCAACTTCTCCAATTCTCTCAAATTTTCCAGTTGCTGCCATTCGCAACCTGGAGCACCACATTTGATGTCTGTCCATCTTGAGGTCTGGGGCAAAGAATGTTCTTCCCTTCTCTCACCAACCCTCAGGGTCGCTTTTCTTTCATTGTTTTCTGTGGTTCCAAGAATCGGTCATTCCACCCAAGGGAAAAGAGTTAGAAAGGAAAGTTCTGGAAGCAAGAAGAAACAAAGAACAAAAGAGAGGACTAAAACTATACTTAAATTACTATATACAAAATGGCATACTGCCACACTATACAAATGGAAATAAAGTGATCCAAAGTTACTTGAATAAGTTTATAAACTTCTGAGAATATTACCATTTACATTTTTATTGACATGTTGGCATATAAGAGTATGCAAAAAGCTATTTTCATGAACACTCCCTTATACTGGATAGCTGAGCAGTTAAGATGGCAACCTACTGCTCAGGAGTACTTGAATCTAATCCTGACTGCTCAAAAAATCCCAGGAATTTTTCAGGGTTGGTATAAATATAATCAAAGGGAGAGACAATATAAATCAAATAATTTTTTAAAATATACTTTTTCGTGATAAAGATTTAATACTTATTACTATAATCTAGACATGTTAATCCTTAAATATACAAGTATATTTAAGGATTGGTCCACAAGTATATACTAATATACTTGTGGCCCAAAACTCCATGACATATTCCTATGTGGCCCAGAGAAGCAAAACAGTTGGATACCTCTGGTTTAGGATGTGATAACTGGATAACTCAACTTGTTGAATTTGTTTTAGATAATAATTATTTTATTTTTAATGGAAATTGTTTTAGACAATCAGAAGGCAACTTTATGAGCTCTTGCATAAAGTTGCCTTAAACTAGCTGAACTATGCATGATAAAAATAGACGATATTGTTAAAAATATTTGCAGTGTGATATTTTACAAACAGTAATTTGGCTTATATTTTTACTTGTACTTGTCAACTAGAATATTAAAACTAGAATAAGAGAGCATATATGCACAGTACAATAAGCTCAGCAGTCACCACACACTACACACATTAGTGATATCTGGCAATCATTACTTCAAAAATAAGAATAGCCATTTTAAGATGTTCTGCCTTCCCCTCCTCCCCATATTTTATTAATTTACTGTACTATATGACAGTCAGTCTTTCCAATGGACAGAAACATCGTCAACTGGGAGACAGATAAGCTAACTGGGCACTGGACACTGGGTGACAAAATACAAAATTTCTTATTGTTTTCTTCATTAAAATCATCACTCTTTTCTATTGACCCAATAAATTTAAATAAATTTTTTTAAAACAAGTTAAATGAGTTAAAAGAACAATTTTGTAATCAACAAACATATTTACACATGTTACATATTTTTATTTATTTTTACAAGTAAATAGAAAATTCTCAAAGGATAGTTGATATCTACCTCCAAAATTAACAAATATATATAAAAACAAAGATGACAATTACATAAAATTAAAAATACATTATACATTAAATACAATATAAATTAAAACAAAAAAAGTATAAAAATTCTTTTAAAGGATTTGTTTTTGAAGAACTGCTTTTCTTTGATGTAATTTGTTAACTGCTTCTGACATACAACAATTAACAATGCTACTGTAGGTTATTCCAAAATCTTTTATTTTCCTAAGTTGGAAATAGCTCGTAACTCATAGTTCGTAACTTATAACTTGTACCGGTACCTCATAAGTCTAAACCATATTTATATTTATATATATTTTACTAATACAGTAGAACCTCCATTATCCGGACCTCCATTATCCGGATTTTCGATTATCCGGATTGTTCAAAATAAACAAAAATTTACGAATTTGCTGATTTGCACTTGGCGAATTACGACACTGTTTATGTACGTGATGGAATGCATAACTTTTTTTGTTTCAACAACGTCTCACCCAGCACAGTGGTCATAAACTCTTAATATATTTTATGTAGTAATAAAAATATAACTTGACATAAGTATTTATAAATAATTTATATTCAAATTACATCATTTCTATGATTAAGGGCGGTGTAAGGCATGGACGACGTGGGCCACCGCCTATGCCTCGCGGTCCGAAGGGCCTCGCGTTTCGAAGGTTTATGCATTACTTAAAAGCCGCGAACGCGACGAAAA